TGCAGTGCTCTATCAGTTGGCTTGTTAGCTCAGTTGGTAGTGCACTGCAATGGCATCACAGAGGTCATGGGTTTGAATCCCGTACAGGCCTGAATTTTTTTCAATTTTTTTTTTCCAGGTCCTAATTTCACTATTGCGTAAATAGTGTTGCTCACTGCGTAGATCATTCTCATAGATGCATTTCTGTAACCGCAGTTCAAATATATGATTCTCGTATATTCTTAGCATTTGACTCATCATTTTATTGACTTTATCATTTTAACCTTACATCTGACTGACTTTCCCTTGTCACATAATTTTTTCAGATTTGCATAGAAAAGCAAAATCAAACAACTTAGCTCTGTACTCGCACAAGATGACAAAAAAATGTGCTCAGACTCACCACTTTTAAAATAATTGTGCACAAGTAGAAGGCATCCCCATACTGTGCCTCTTTAAGGCCATCTTCCCTTGATTCTGAAGTCGTTGTCAGTTTTGATGTCTAGAATACCATCATCTACAAACTGAACCAAGTAGTAGTGCCACTACTAGCAGGAAAGAAACAAATTACACATTAAAAGGAGAATTAAATAGTATGAAGAGAAAGTTTCATTTCAAATATGTGCTCCTAATTGAAAAAATATAATGCCCTAACTTTGACATGAAACCATGTACAGACAAATTGAGAGGTACTGTTAGTATTCATTTTCACGTTTTGTGGTCTCTGGACCATCTCTCTTTTTAAATCATCAGTGATGTGGCTGGAATTCGAAATTGAGCGCAAAATCCACAACTAGACATTTCAAGTCAACCACAAGAAAACTAAATATATCTCATTTTCGCATTGTGAATGCAATTTGGGAGATACTTTGGGCCACAACAATCAATTTCAAAAGACCTGCAACCTGTTTCTGGAATATATTTCGCAAAAAATGAAATTAAGACAAAATCAACCGGTGAACGATCGTTATGCTTCGATCTCTTTAGTTCATGGCGAAGGCATCTTAAGTTATGAACCCTAGGATAAATAGTTACAAGTATTTGAATTTAAGCTATAAAAATCCTTTTCGTAGGGTAAATAACGAATTTCAAACTACCGTGATGATTTAAGCGCAATAATTTAGGCATACACATTCCGACGTGCTTCGATTCACTGATTAAGAATAAAGGATACTAATTCAGACTTAACACAAAAGATCACAAACCTTGATCCTCCAATCATTTGGGAGCCTTGTTCCATCTTCTAGAATTGTTATTACCTTCCTTTGACATGGTTAAGTAATGATAAATATATAAGCACATACTGTAACTGAATGACGGTGAGGCAATGGGCCAACTTGACCTTTGATAAACATGCTCTTTGGAGAGCATCAGGTGAAGTGCCATTGTGGGTCACATCATCATTGGAGCATGTGGGTCCTGTAAAAGTCACTGGGGTCATTCAGGTCAGCAATTGAATGAGTGAACACCACCAATGACAGTGAGAACATCAGAGGTCAATATTTATCCAATTCTTCCACAAGTAATGTTCCGAGAACTACAAAATATAGATGGAGCAAGAAGCCAAATTAATGAGAGAGAGAGAGGAGAGTTATCCAGAGGATAGAAACCTAACAAAAAGTCACATTCATTTCCGTTGCACAAGTTCCCAAAGGACAGAAGCAGTTCCCAGTAGCTCAACCTCATCTTTTTTTTTTCAGAGGATTTCAGCTGCCTGAACCGAAATATATTAATTTTAATGAAGAGAGTGGCAACAGCAGTGAATCATCTGATGATAATTCTATTTACCTACCTCTCTATCTGGGATGTTATCTTTCACTTTAAGGATCAAGCATTGTATTATTTTGTGCGGAAGTATTGACACCTCTGCAAAGTGTTTGTTTCAAAATATGTCACAATTCAATGGAACATATGGATGCCCATATTGCCTTCATCCTGGTGAAACTGTGAAAAATAGTGAAAGAGGCGACACCACGGCATACCCCTTTCATATATAAAAGGACATCAAAATGAAGAAGGGGACAACAAACAAAATAATATACCTGCCAAGACAACTAGGAAACAGACATATGAAGAAACACCACTATTTATCAACTGAAGGACCTTTCCAGTATAGTTATTTCCTACTAAATCAGACCTGAACATGATTTACACTTGTGTGAGACATTTAAAGTAATTATGATCATTATCAACTGAAGCATAAGTGACTTTTCAGTGTAGTCATTTCGTACTTAATCAGACCTGAACATGATTTACGTTTGTGCGAGACATTAATTTAAAGTATACTTGTACCCTACATCAACAATAAAGATAGTGATTTTAACTTGAGACGTATACTGGGAACTTAAAGTGTACTTCAAAAATGGAACTGGAGTTGTATTTATTATTAATAGTAAGTGCAGTAATATTGAAGTATTATTGAAGTATGATTGCAGTACAACTATGATTGATGCAGTATACTTGTAGTATACTTAAAGTATACTTCAAGGTTATCTTTTTTGGTAATGATATGCATAAAATTTCACTTTTCTGGGCTTCTGTTTTGTTTTGTTTAGTGTATTGCAAATCATGGAACACATTTGTTATAATTAGAGGAAGAAAGGACAAAGGACTTTGTTTGAAGTTTGTATTTAATAATACAGGGCCTTGCAGATAATGGGAAGTCATTCTCTTAATGTACACTAAAAATAATTTTAAGAAGCTGCTGCTGGCCAATTCTTTGATCAATACTTTGTGACTCTTTTTGACTGGTTAAACCATCAAGAGGTAGTTACTTTTATTTTCTGGTGCAGTTCAACTTATAAACCTCCTTTTGTGGTCATTTTGCAGAATGAGGGACGAGGTGTGATTGAAGCAGAAGTGAAACCAGTTGGTTGCAAGCATTTGGCAGAAACTATGGCCATAGCCTGTAATGGGAATGAGCTGCCATCCTGTGCTGGAAAGTTCACGTTTCTCCTTCCAGCTAATATTCCAACTGCTTACCACATTTCCCTTAAGTTCAGAGCATTAACTGGAGAAATGCTAGATGCAATTTCTTTACCCATCTTGACCCATTATCAACAAACAAACTTGTTGGATTATTGGGAGGGCCACTCCCTGCCATCATTGGAATTGCCCATTCCCAAAAAGCAACTAGTTGGTATGGTTTTGTTTTGTCTGTCTGTTCATCTGCATCTGAATATCTTTTGTTCAGGATGGTGTGTTTCATAGAATTGCATCATTAAATAAAATTTCATATTTTGGTTGGTTAATGAAGCAAGGTATTTTGCATGGAATTGTGAGTTGAAAACGAGGCTAAGTGAAAATTGTTTTGCATCTACTTATACATAAAGACTATAGCTAATCCAGTTTCCCTTTTTTCTTATTTTGATTCAATTATACAATTCAAGGAAAATCCATTACATGACTTGTGAATTCCACATTGAATTGTACCTGAAAACTGATGTTGCTTTCATTGCTTTGTGATTTGGGCAATATCAGTTTTGGCAGGCAATTTAATGGGATTGAATAAATCCCTCGTCAAGCAATGAATTTTCCTATACAATTACTTTCCTCGATTATGTTGACTCGTCAGGACCTCGATAAATAGTTCGGATAACCGAGAGTCCGGATAATCGAATAGTCCGGATAATCGAGGTTCAGATAATCGAGGTTTGACTGTAGTCATTGTTCATGTACATGATTCTATTTGTGAATTATGGCTTTAAATTACATGTAAAATGTGTCATGTACTGTGTACTCTTTGTGTACATTTGCCAAAAAATAATTAAATTCGTGTGCATAGCAATAAAAGTGCATTGTCAAAAGCACGGTGAGGGTTCAGTAGCTTAAGGGGTCAGAGTAACCCATGCAGTAAGTTATTTTGGAGGACTCACTTGACCATTTTATCTTTAAGAGTGAACAGCATCTAATTTCTCCTTGCAACATCACACATAAAGGTCACATGAATAAAGGAAATGATCACAAACTAAAGAAGCTCTTATTTTTAAACAAATCGTCCTCATTAGCACCTGAGGAAATGTATGCATCTAGAGAACATTATGGATAATATTCTTGCTGATGTTAGGGTATAAAGGGTTCATGTGAAAAAAAACTTTCAGTTGGCTGCCGATGGGATATCTGATTCAATTTTGATCTAATGGATATTTCTTTTTTTTTTAGGCATTCTTGGAATCCCTGAAGCACAAAAGATTGTCTCATATTTTCAAGAATTGGTGGAAAATGGTAAATTTTCAGAAATGCCAATTCCTTCTCTTATCTAATGTATGTGTACCCAAAAGTCATTAAAGGGAATTAAAAAAATCGTCAACAATATTGTCAGCAGTATGCAGGAAGTTTGACTCTATGGAGTTATTTAAATGGTCTAGCCCACCACAAGTCTTCCATAGCCCAGTGGTAGAACATGTAAAGTACCATTCAGAAGGTTGAAGCCTGGTTCAACCCCTTTAAGTAGCACTCAGAGTTTTTTTTTTCTGAGTATACCTGTGTCATTCACTGAATTCATTTTTTGCCTAGTCTTATTATAATTATGTTTTGTGCTGAGCTGATCCTCACTAGAAGTTTATTTACTCTGTCTGCTATTAGTTTGAATTGATATCACCAAAAGAATTTAAGATCGTTTATAGGGAATTTGCAACAATTTATTGACAAGCTGTTGATAAATTCCATGATAATGATTGTGGTGAATCCATCATTACACATGAATGCATATGTTAAGATTTGAATGGTTTGTAATCTCACCAGGATTAAAGGGTCAAAATAATCACTTGCATGATTGAATATAGGAAAAGAAAGAAGCCAGAAAGGAGAGGAATTTTAAACAGGCTACATTGATCCTACAGAGTAATTTGATTTTATGATCAACTGAGTTGATAAACAATGTTAATTGGCTACCACAAAGAGTTTCTTCTGCTGACCTTTTGAGCATTAGAGCAAGTGACAAAGGGCTGATGTTCAAAACATCAACTTTAGGAACTCTTTATGGTGGCCAGTTTAAATCATAAACTCAGTTGGTAAAATCACATTATCTTGTAATACCCCAACTATGCAGCACTATGGTTTCCTTAGAAACTTGCGCCCCAGATTAATTTTTCTGACAACGTTTGACTAGTATACATGTAGCTCTAGTGTAGTGCTTAACCTATTAATGAATCTTTCAACAAACAAGCCAAACAAAAAAGTTGCTAAGATTCCTCTGGAAAAAACAATACTGTATGTTCATATATTTCAAGAAATGTTTTTACTTCTACAATCAATTTTTTTTCATCAATGTTACCTTCATGTTGGTAATGATTTCTGAAGTGTTTTTGATGACAAACTAGGTGGATATCAAAGGAGATGTAACACTCTTTGTAAAGTGCACACAACATTCATTGAATTAAAATATAAAGAGGTGAATGGGAATTTTCTACCCTATTAGTTGAATAGAAATGAATATTTTATTTTTCAATTATATTCAGGTGCAATTGGATGCTTCAGACAAGATCAGCTCCGTCTCATCCAGCACACACAAACATCCAATCATGTGAAGGCAAAATTTCAGGATTTGCTTCTTGCTGTGCAGTTAGAGGTATTAAACAGTAACAGTAAATTTTAATTACTTCACTCACAGCTGCACCCTTTCAGACACTTAAGTGACGTACAGAAATTTTAATGTTTTGACCCCTCAGCGGTACCTGTCTTTCATTTAAACCTTGTGTTGGATTGTGTCCCATGTCTTATGCATGAAATGCCAAGGTCACTGTTAATCTCTGGTGAGGAAGAAACCAGATTATTTTGGCTGTATTGTTGTATATGTATGGGTCAGCTTGTTGACAGTTTACCAACAGTGTATGAAACACAGGTCTGCACAGAATCATCTCAATTCTTTTCAACAGGGTTCCCACGCTCCTTGAAAGTCCTTGAATTGGGTTCCTGAAAGAGTGCAACAACCCTTTTTCAACAAATACTGTAAAATACCTCAAAAAAAGCGTTCCTCACCCAATCTAGTGCCCACCCCCCTAGGCCACAAAGTCAAACTAGGGCCCCACTCTGATAAGTCCCCCCACACACACCTTTTTAAATGGTACTTAAAATAACTTTTTAGATTGAATTACAGCAGAATCAGAGCAGAAGAATAACAAATGCCCCCCTCCCTCTACTAAATAAACACTTGGGCGCTTATTTGAGAAAATATAATGGTATATTTAAAATACTCATGTGGTTGAATTTTAATTTATTTTTCAGGAGTGTCTCATTGGCTATCAGATGGAAGATCTTGAGGGTTGCAAGCGTGTAGGTGAACATGTCTGTATTCAGGCAAACAGGAACCATTCAACAAACTATAATGCCCTTGTTGGAAGAGCAAAAAGTGTTGTCTCGGGGGCCTACAAGATGGAAAAAGAGTTTGTGAAAGCAGAAGAACTATTGGATTCCTCTACTGAGGTGTGTTGTAACTCCTCTGTTTCATGGTATCTTTTACAGTGTGAGACCTTTACACCCCAGCATCAGTATGCATTTTCTCCTTACAGTTCTCTATCCATTTGTGCTGACAAGGAGAAATTGTTTGATTATAAAGAGCTTCTCTACTTGGTGACTGTTTCCTTTAATCTTGCAACCTTAATGTGTGAGTCAGGATTGATATTGATAAATTAGATGCTAGTCAGTCTTAGGAGTCAGGTGCTCAATGCTTTTGATTCCTCATAAATACCAAGGGCCTATTTTAAGCCATGCTAAGGCCACTTTTTACATTATTTTATTGTAATTCAGAGTCCTGTTGCTACCCAAAGAAAGCTGGAAGGAGGGGGAAGGCTTGAGTTTTGCAGACTTTTTATTTTTGTTACTTTCAGCTGTTACAGGCAGTTGTTCCTGGTGTGGAGACTTCAATCAACCGCACAAGCTTTGCTGCTTTGTTGTGCGAGAAGGCAGATGTTGTGGGAATCAACACATCAGAAGAAAAAAAGTTGAAGAAAGCCTTGAAGGATGTCATACAGCACTACAGACACCAACTTGAGGGAAATCAAAGCAGGATAGCCAGGAGTCCTAGAAGAGCTCTTATCAGGGCAATACTCTACTACCTTTGTTCAACAAAAGATAAAGCCACCAACTTGCAAACAGATGTGTCCCATAAGGCTTTAACACGAGCCGAGGAGTTTGCTGAACAGTTCATGAGGGAGTTTCTTCCCAATTGTCCTATGAGAGATAGGGCAGGGTTTTTTAATGCTTATGGTGATCTGCTAACAAGGAAAGGACATTATGAAGAAGGTTTGTGCAAAGTTGAGAGTTTTGTGCTCTTGACATACATACATCACATGATATCAATTCAATGGTAATTATGGAAACTAATTATGAAAGACACCGTTACTGTATAATACTGTCTATGGAAGAATATGGGAGAATGTTATTGCTTACAGAAGATTACAAAATAAATGTTAATTTTTGAGGATCCATCACAATTTAAGAACTTGAAGATTAAAAGAGACCCAAACTTAAACTTCCCTCATAAAATGTTGTAGTGAGTTGTCAAGTGTTTTTGCATTCATACCAAAGACTTAATTCTTCATTTGCTGTGATACTGGGGCCAACCTGCAATCCTCTTGAGGGATTTATGTTACTCGTTTATTTCTCTTATACACATAAAAATACATTGTACAAATGAAATAATCATATGGTTCATTTGTACCAAGTGGTACAAAATTATCTTCTCTGATTGGTTGTGTACAAGAGTGCCCATGTATACTACCGAGTTTAAAGATAAGAACAACAGAAAATAAAGAGCTGTGATCAGTTTATTTCTGCGATATTTGTTTTCTTTTTCTTTTCTTTTTATGTCTGTTTTCTTGTTTCCACGCACAGCCACCCATTCAGTGTCTGAGGCATTGAAAATAGCGGAAGATCTTCGACTAGGGATAGATGTAAAGGGAGCACGTGACCGACTTCAGCAACTCAATCGGCTGGGTATGGAGCGAGCGGAGACTGGAAGGAGCCATCCTGAATTTGCCGAGAGGAGAGTGGAGGAATATCACGGCTTCCAAGGACCAGGGTGTGAAGTCCTTCAAGGACTTCTTATGGAACTCGAGAGGGCAATGAATTGAAACCCTAACAGAAAGGGAAGCTCCAAAACTTCGAATAACGAGATTTACCATCTCCTTTATTTAAGTAAACCATCACGAACTGTCAGTCGCTGTCTGAAGCACACTCCTGGTAGTATTTTTGTAAAAACAGATTTCACAGTTGGGTGTCCTTTTGTTGCAGCATCCATTCAACGTTTGAATGTACATACTCTAAAATATAGAGGAGGAGTCGGCCAGTCATATTTTCCTCTATAGCTCTAGAACGTAGGCGTGTAGAGCTGTAACTTTTTGTTGAAAAGCTGTATTTTTCCCTTTTGTGTAATAAAGATGGCTTGAGGGAGAGAAAAAGTAATTTACTGTAGTCGCAGCCTGATCAGCTCGATCAGCAGAATGCGAAAAGACTAGGAAAGATTTCGGCGAGTGAGCTGCCCCATGGATGAAATTCTGTTTTTCTCGGATAAGGAACTTCAATGTAAAAGTAACCAGTATATTCACGGCTGTAGTCATTAGGTGCGTTGAAGAAGTCAGTTCTAAGGACTGGTCTTGTTTTGCCGGTTTGTGCCTCACATAGGGGTGACCTCATCGCAGCTCACCCACTTCAAAGAAAATGTTGCCGTCGTTGCGATATTATTTACCACTGTACTGTAATGATTGCAAATCGTGCTACATGTATTCCAGATGGCAGTATATAGTAACGTATTTTTTGTATATCGCATTGAATGGGGAGATGGTAACAATTTTACCTTGCTGCTAGACTAAACTGTTACTAAGGGGTTGCCGTTTTTTCCAACAGTGTCAGAGAATCTTGAATAGTCATCCTTGTTTATATAATGGCTTTGTTTTAAAAGCATTTCAGAGAGATGTGTGAAGCGGCGAAAACTTCTGTTATAGGAGGATTGACTGGTTTTCACGTATGAAAAGGTACACAAATATCTGTCGGGCGTAAGCTTGTTAACTGTAAGCTAATAAGAATTTCATTTAATTTTAAAATGTGTCCTTTTCCTTACAATAAAATGCAAGATTTGTTGGATGTTTGGCATGTTCATCGTGTTTCACAAAAAGCACAATCCTATTTATTGGTCGTTTTGTTTTCGACCCCCCAAAATCGGACCGTCCGTCGCGACTTAAGGAGGGGGGGGGGGCATTGACCACTTTCATAAAGGCTGCCGGATTAATATTCTTTTGTTTGAATTTAAATTAGCCGTTCTGGCCTCGCTTGAGATAATATATTCTTTTGAATTTTGTACTGGTCTATTGGGATTTTCGGTTTTGTGCTAAAAAAAACTTCGGTTTTTCGGTTTTGGTGTTCATTGAGGTTTGCGGATTTTCCGTTTTTTAGCGGTTTTCGGTTTTCGCGAAAAATACCAACGGGTTTTCGGATTTGATATCCGATGTGGTTTTCGGTTTTTCCCATTTGACCTATTTGGGTTTCGGTTTCTCTTCGATCTGAGCGGCAATTACGCGCCTCCACTGATCTCGAATAGCCTCCAAACGCAAATGTTATTGAGAGGAATGCGTGACAAACCAATTGAAATATCGCAGGGATCCCAAGGGTGTTCACACGTCTTGAAGAACGCCTGACCATCCGTAGGGGTTCACGCGTCTTGGGCCCCGTCCACACGTATCCGGATATTTTTTAATCCGCAACTTTTTCTTTCCGAATACGGCTATCGTCAACACGTATCCGGCGAATTCGCAAGCAAATCCGGATATTTTTTAATCCGCTCTCCAGAGTGGAAATTTTTGAATCCGATATCATTTTGGATACGTGTGGACGGTCGAATCCGGATATTTTCTGATACGATGACCTCAAAATTGACGCCAGTGTTTACCGCGCAAAGTTAAATATGGCCGCCGATCAAAGGCAAATAATAATAATAATAATAATAATAAATAGATGCTTATAGGGCGCATTTCCAATCTCAATGCGCCTAACAACAGATTATTAAGACATAAGAATAAGTATTTAATTAACAGTAATGTCTTTTAAACAAAAATGTCTTAAGCCTAGTTTTGAATGTTTCACTGTAAAACAGTGATTTACGAAGCAATCTAAAATATTGTTATGGCTATATCCTATATATATATTATAGGGCTCGTTCAGGACAATACAGACTTAAGAAGACTAACAGTCCTTAGAATACGCCATACACTTAGAATACGCAATATCTAAACCTATAATAAATTGCAAATTCGCGATTGCCGGGTGAGGAAGATCATGGCTAACTACCCCCTGGGGTGGGATGGGTGGGTACTAGGGCCCGCAGTAATTGGCGCAAGCTGTTGCGGGTCCCCGCCTGTCGGCGAAGCTAATAAACTAAATTAAACTGACTTTTAAAATGCCTTATTGGTGTTACGCTGACTTAAGACTCGATAAAGTGGATGATTAACCTATAAAAACGACGAATTCAAGGATTTGCAATTCATAAAAAAGAACTTTGATGGTATCTATAATCGACCGTGCTTCGAGTTTTTTTACTCAAAAGCATTGAGGGAATGAAAACTTTCTTACTTTTATTGTGTACTTCTTACAGATTGATGTTTATTTACTAATGTTTAATACTGTATTTCATGTAGATTTACATCAGGCAGAGTAAATTGATATTTACAGTTCACAGTCCGAAAGGTCAAGATTCGAGTCAATTGCCTTAGAGCCTTCTGAGCGTTCCTGATTCTTCGTCTTTTTCCTCTGAGCTTCCTGTTCAGAGGGCCCTGCAGTCTCTTTTTGCTTTATACCAGTCTCTTTTTGTTTTAATCCTGTGGGATGCCTCCCCGCCATGGGACAGACGCACACTGGAGGACATCCACCACACAGTAATCTCGTGAGTGGGAAATTAACGTCTCCTACTCCAACTCTGCAGGAGACGGGACCTACGGTTTATTCGTCCTTATCCGAGAAGACTAGAATGTCTAACCATTTCTTGATGTTATAGAAAGGCAGCACATTCTCGTCAGTAATTTTAAGACCTTGAGTGTTGGTCCAGCCGGGGCTCAAACCCTAGACCTCCCGCTCAACAGTCCGGCGCCCTATCTATTGAGGTAACCGAGATGCGGTTAGTAATCGGATTAACTTTGCTCTGTAGATCATCTCAATGGAGAAGTGATAATGAGGGTACTCAGGACATCACTGATTCTGACACTGACGACAACGACTCAAGTGATGACCGTATGAAAGAGTCTGAAGTAGAATCAGATTTGGATGAAGATGATGTGTTAGAAGTTTGCTCTTGCCCCTGTGATGAAAAGGCGTGTGACAGTGATATTGACGAGGATGATTTGAAGACGGCTTACGTCGGCATTCACCAGGTAGATAGTTTATGCAAGAAGCTTAACTAGCTTATCAAAAGAGGAAAAATTCAAAAGGACAGAACTTTTTACAAGTTCGTCAATGATGCCGTAGAAGTAATGTACGATCCGTTTCATCCGTATGACCGAGAGGTTATTGAGTTCTTTGACACGACTACATACCTGGGTGGTAAGGGTACGGCCTCCTTCATTAGAGGTCCTATGAACCTTGGCGATGGTAAGGGCAGCCACAGGACGAGAGAAAAGAGAATAAATCTGGGTAGACCCTCAGAGTCAGTTTGTAGAAAGTACCAGGCTGGCTATACACCAGACCCAGGTGTAATAAAGGCGTTGTCCCTTGCTTTCATCGACCTTGTGAAGGACGACGGCGAGACTGCTCCTCTTCTCAAGTCGGATAACTCAGAAGTGACACCGTGTGCCTTGGAAAATGATGGAACGCCTTTGAAAACAGCGATAGAATTCGATTCGCGCCTTAAAGAAAATGTTGCACTAAAATTCAAAGTTGATCTTGCTTATGTCAAAGAGCACACTAATCCTTCTGCTGATGAATGTCGAAACAATATCATTACAGAGGCCGTTGTTTCATCGTTAACAACCTTAGACAAATTCAGTTTACCTTGTGCAGTTGATTACGCGACACAGAAAGGAAAAACTGGGGAGGCAATGGCAAATGAGTTTGAAAATCACATCAGGCGTGCGAAGCATGCCAAAGGCGCGCACCAGGCCAGCGGAATATTTTGAAATTGTAAAACGTTAGATGTGAAAGCTTTTGTAACGTTTGCTTCAGTTTGCGAAAACAGATGACCGTGAAGAATGTCAGGGAAAAGGTCATATGAGCCACATACCATCTGTAAGATGTTGTGATCACTGCCTTGATAAAAGGTTCATTTGTAGACGCATGGTTGTCTTAGTTCTGTCGACAGATTGTGAGTCGGGTAACAAAACGGCGTTTGAGATTATCAAGTCAAAAATCGTGAAAGGTGAAGTAGATCCGTACTTGTGGCTATTCTCGATTTTGCCTGACTGCCCCCATGTAGGAAAAAGCCTTAATTAAGGCATCATTTTCAAACTGGTGACTGAAATGA